TTGCCATTGCGCAAAGAGGGAAATAGCGGCCATATAGGAAAAGGGAGTGTGCCAGAAACGGTGTGACGCGCGCACAGAGAATACAAGGCTGCAGAAAAGATTGCCAAAAGGAGGGGAAAGTTTGCTTTTTTTCTTTAAAAACTAAAAATACAAAACTTTCCAACCTGAATTTTGAAGCATAGCTGCTATGACAGTTCGTAGAACTTTTGATTTGAGGTTAGAGTTTTTGAGCAACAGTCTTTGAAGGAATAAAATGAGAAAGAATGATAAGTAGATCAGTATGGTCAGAATTACAAATAACGGAATCACTTGGCCACCAATAAAATTCATGTAAAAGTTCGGGTCCACCGTAATATAGCTAAATTAAAAAAAGGTTTTGATTTTTACAACTTTTATACTTGATCGAAAAATTCCCATCTAGAGTGTAGCTCATCGGGACAAACGCCGAAATATAGACGCCAAATCCGATTTTGTAACTCCAAATTGAAACGATTAAAAAGTAGACAATCTTATTGTAATTTTCCTGAAATCTTTCGAATTACTATGAGTATAAAAACTGTAAAAGTAAAACTGTTCTTCTATTTGTAGGTAAGTTTAGTTTTTTATTCATATAACCTCATTAAATCGATGCCATCTCAACAACATGACAATTCTTGATACGGCTAACACAAAATTCCATAGCACCGCCTGACAGGTGAAACAGAAAAGAACGATAAAGTAGATTCGGGCAAAGATTTGAATAAATCCTTGTAGATATAGATAAACAAAACCCCATTGGGAGGGTTCTTTCATTAAGAGTTCGGTCAGACAGACAACCAGATCGCAGATTACTAAACGGAGAAAGCTGTAGTGGTAAGCTGGAGACATGGAAAATCGGGTCGGGTCGGATCGGGGGGATCGGATTGGGTCGGGTTGAAGATTCCAAAAGTTAGTCGCAAAAGTTTTTTAGCATTTCATTTTTTCAAAGCGCCCGTACTTTCAAAAATGCGTCTTTGGTATCAAAAATAGCTGAAATTCAGGGCTATTTTTTGTTACCTAAGCGCATATTGTAGTATAAACAAGTGTGGAGAAACACTCGTTCAAAGCTAGACCACGCAACACTCCGCACCGTCATTATGGGGGTGGAGTACTATTACAGTATTTACGGTATGTCTTTAACCCACAAATATTCAACAAACACGTCTCGTAAATTCGATCATGTTTAGTATGAGATAAAAGAATCGAAATAAGAAGACATTGAATGGGAATCGTCGTCAGAATGTGTAGATCGAGGATTATTGAGAGCGCATCCATTTTGAAAAGAATTTGGCTGTAAAATTTGAGACCAACTAGTCGATTTCCCCATAAAAAGTTCAAGTTTGGTTCCAAAAATATAATTGCAACCCCGCCTCAAATTGACTCAATTCCCAGGTGATCGTGAAGTTTTTGAAAGCATTTTTTTACCCGCCTTGTGCATTTCCTCAATTAAATTGGGGGTTGTAGCGTGATAAATTTATTTTATTTTCGAAAAACCCCACAAGACCCCCAGAAAGCTGGCTCGCCCACACAAACGACAACATCGCAGCTCACTGAACAAAGAACTTAAAGAGAATACTTTTTATTTTACGATTAATTGAGTAGCCTTAAAGTCTTATTAGCCATCGAAAAGTTTCAATTTGTGAGAGGAAGCAATTGTGCGTTACACTGTCGTTTTTCTCGTGTCTCGAATCAGCATTATTTTTATTCATTGCTTTGATACTAGTGTTTTATAAGTAAAAATTAAACTTAATATAATATCGTAATATTGGGATAATGGAAAAGTTCTTTCCGATATTTTGGGAGAGTACCTTAAATTTGTCCAATTTTGACGTTTTATAGTTCATCCTAAAGCTGAATTCAAGACGGGAACAACAAAAAAAAGGGGGAATTGATGAGATCATCAATTGATGGGATTGAATGTGATGGCCACTGGAACAGGGCAATTGTGCGGTGAGGTTTAGTATTCAAATCTAAGTTTGAAATCCCAAAAATGCATGGAAAAGGCGTTTTTGACTCGAGAACAAGTCCATCTTATATTGGGTTGGTGGAAAATTCCTTTCGGATTTTTTGGGAGAGTACCTTAAATTTGTCGAATTTTGACGCTTTGTAGCTCATCCTAAAGCTGAATTCAAGACGGATCGATTGGTAAAAACCGTTTTGAGATATCTCTTTTCTAAAAGTTTTTACAGCTATTTTAGTAAAGGGCGGCAGAGCCAAAAAATGGCTGTTTCACTAGTTTTCCGTGCAGAAACCTAGCCTAAAAACATGTGTTTCGTGATCAGCGTCAAAAATAACCCCTAGACACAAATTTTCAGAACCTTAGCAAAAAATTTTTGAAAAATATTGTCACCGGTGGAAGTCGAACCAGCGACCCTCAGATCAATAGCCTTTCCGCCGCTTTTCGCGATTTTCCTTCGATTTTCCTTAAGGTACTCTCCCAAAAAGTCTGAAAGGACTTTTCTACCAACCCAATATAATATCAACATACGTATAACCTCTAAAATCGTACAATCTTTGACAAAAAAAATGATGGAATATTCAAATTTCATCTTGTCGTTAGATATGTGAAAAAGTATTCAATCAAAATTTTCTAGTATTTTGAAAGATTCAATTCAGCAAGTATTTTAAGAGTTTCTCAATACCTTATCAAGTGATAACCCTTTTTGAGACTCTTATCCTTTGACAATCAAATGAGCTGCAAAACCATAGGCGAGTAGCAAGCGAATGAAGTTCTTGTGACGACTTATCCACATTTTAGCGCAAAATACAGCTGCTGGAAGATTGAGCAAAGACGTAGAGGATGAACCGGAGTTCTTTGTGTGGCAAAATCGAGTAGAGAAGGACGAAGATCAACGGCGGAATGACAAGAGGTGGCAGCCTTCTATCAATCAGCAATCCAAGCGAGTCAAGCATTACACGGGGAATTGCTGAGTAGAAGTACCATAAGAAAGGAGACACTCCATATTCGTGGCTTCGATTTAAAATGATGTTGAACCATCCGACTTCTCCTTCCGGCCAAAGCCAACGTCCCCAAAGCAGTGAATCGAGCGGTACTTATCCTTATCTTTACCAAATTCTTTCATAACGAACACAAAGCCGATAACAAATTTGCCTTTTTTAGCTTGTTTTGAGCGAGAATTTATCAGTATTGTGCAGAAATCTATAGAGTGGATTTCTGATATTTCTTTAGATTCATAATCTCTAGCTTATATTGAGCTTTATGTGTGTAAATCTCTTCCACTTTCTCTATAAGATCTCTTTGTGCAGATAAATCAGTTTTCGAGTATATATTCTACCACTGAACTACCAGCGACGGAAAATACAGCAAATATGTAATTATTCTTATTTTCCACAAGTATATTCGATATAACGATTTTTATTCAAAATTTGGTCTTGACCTAATTGAAAACCTCGATATGACGATATTCGATATAACGATTTGTTCGATATAACGATTTCAAGCGTGGGTCCGGAGATCTTGGCAGATTGCACAAATCTCGACGCTCATACTATGATCGGGTTTGGAAAGTATCTCAAAAGGTTCAGATAAGTGTATTTTATCTCTTGGGACTCTTGCCAATATTTGGATGAAAACAATAAAGTCTGAGGGGGAGATGTAAGGATGAAAGATGGTTTGAATTGTTCTCTTTTTGATGCTTCGCATCCATTGAATTGCACTATTTTTGCAGTCAATGGAGGAATCAAAAGCCCCTTTTTCTGAAAGAATATCAAAACATTTATAAACTCTTTCAATCAACAGACAATGATGATAATGATAGATTTAATTAGCATATATCTCCTCATCAGGCAAATCGACTTCTAACAAAAGTCTTGTGCATCCGTTCTCCAGCTCTTTCAGCACAACACTGTTCTTCAATGTTGCTTTTTCAATCGGCTCTTGGGTTTTCTCTGGGATACGATCCTGAATAAAAACGTGAATTACTGATTTAAATTCATTTGCACGAGCAACCAACTTTCTACAGTGAGACCAGGCTCTTGCCATATAAAACGGTGCTTATCGATTTTGACATTGTTAACTACTCGCAAATCTTTTTGTGGAGACTAGATATAACTCGTCGACAAAATTAGTGCAAACCAGAGAAACAAAGCCAACTGAATATGTTGAAAATTGTTTATCTTCTACACTTTTCTTTGTACTAACACTGTGAAAATCCTACCTTAAGAAAAACGTGCTCGAGACATTCCTCGGCACTAAAACGTTCACTTGCATCTGGTAGCAACATGTTGGTTATCAAGTCGCAAAAGTTTTTCCTATCGACTTTTTCCTATCTCGTTCCAAAAGGCCACGACAAGTGCTTGGCTTTCCCTAGTGAGAGTAGTAAAAGCTCTTGCAAAGTTTTCTACTTGTCAAGAGCAGCAGATTTTAGTTCAAAGTCCGGCAGTTTTCAATTCACCAACCCAATAATATTAGGTATTTGCAAAAGAAACTGCGGATTATAACCAATATTTGAACAACCCCAAAATCAATAAGAAAACAACTTTATTCCAAAAGATATTCACCATTATTATCAACTTTTTTCTTCCATTTTTTGCGTAAACTTCGGATGCCTGATTCGAAAAATTTGGGGTCCCGCGACGCAAAGTAGTCTTGCACCCAAATTTCGACTTCTTCAGGATTGTTAAACTTTTGATTTGCAAGAGAGTGTTGCATAGACCGGAACAAATGATAATCTAAGGGAGCAATATCAGGCAAATATGGCGGATGAGGCACGAGTTTCCAGCCTAATTCTTCTATGGTGTTTTGAGCCAAGTTTGATGTGTGTACCCGGGCATTGTCAGCGAGAAAATGGATTGTCCTTGGATTAATACCTCTTTCGCAAAGTAGTCTTGCACCCAAATTTGTGTTTCTTCTTATGTTTACAGATTTTCAAAAGTAAAAATCCTTTTACTTTTGAATAGTTGGCATTCAACAAAACTTTATTACCTCACAGAAAATCAAAAGGTTTTTATTAGAGCATTCAATTGGCCGGGGCAGCAACTATTGGGTAAATTGGTTGTTGACTCATCAGACAAGCGACATTACGTGACGATCTCTCAAGTCTCACGTATCCTCGCTCTCCCCATTCGACTCCCCATCTGCAAAATATTTGATAAGCTATTTCCTGGCACTAAATGCGATAAATTCAAAGTTTCAAAATAAAAATTCTTACGAGTTCTTGATGAGCCAAAACGGGCCTTCTTTTTCATCCACACCATATCCTACTAATAAGACTCCATGATTGACCTTTTGATCTGAGCACGGATCATCTCGATACACACCAGAATCTGAAAAATTTCTGTATACAATTTAGAATAGCTTTCGATAAACTCCGTAAAACATATTATAATGATAGTTAAACTTTAAAAACGGACCTTTTGTGTAATTGTAGCGGAAATGGTTGGACGCAAAAAGACTTACAGCAAGTGGACCGATTTCAAATAAAGCCGACTGCAATTTCTAGCATTATATCAATTTAAACAAACACTTTAACATTTTCGAAAAGAACCTTACATTACCAACAAAAGTACCAACAATTTTCTTATTTTGTTCATACTTTAACAACTAACTTTTATTGTTTGTTCGTCTCTTGAAACAGTCATGTATCCAGAATCAGCGGCGATATTTTGACTTTTATTATTGTGACACTCCTGCTCCTAAACATTATATCACATTTGTTGAATCCTTAGCAACTGTCTACAACTTTTAGCGACTATCTAGTAGCTTTTTGCTTTTGAAAAAACATGCACATAAACTCAAAAAAATTAATGATACTGCTCTGGAAAATCTTATTTCTTATCTTATTTCTAATACATATATACAGGGTGGCTACAAAGTATTGCGCCAAATCAAAAGGTCATTGTAGAATTGAATTTCACACTACTATTTCAATATTTCCAGCTCTCAAGAATACGTGAAAGCATAAAGTTGTAACAAATTTGTTTCCGAAAAGTTGGATGGTGTGGACGGGAATCAGTGCAACTGAGAAGACTCAATTGATTTGATCAATCGATCAATTCATCGACAAAAACGTCAAAATCAACGGGAACGTTTATCAAAAAGAGATTTTGGACAAAGCTGTGCCTCCCTTGGAAACAAAAAGACCCAAATATGATCGTACAACAAGATTCGGCTCCATCCCACGACTCCATCCCAACAACAATCGCTTACCTTGACACCAAAGTGAAATCATATCTGACCAAGGATCAGTGACCTTCAAACAAATCTTAACCCATTGGACTTTCCAGTCTGGGGATACTTGGAAGGACGTTTGAGGACACGGAAAATCAACAATTTGGATATCTTGAAGAAAGCTCTCATCAAGGAATGAGACGATTTAGACCCAGCTTACTTGCGCCCACGGTTGCCTCACTGCCCAAAAGAATCGACGCTTGTATTAAAGCCGATGGCGGTCATTTCGAAACTTTGTGGTAGAACTTAGTTCTTTGACTTTATTTGTTATAAAAATAAAAAGTTTTAATTTATTTAGCCTTTTAACATTTGGGTATATCCTTTTGATTTATCGCAATACTTAGTAGCCACCCTGTATAATGCCGTTCGTCTGTTCGTCTGTCCGTCCAAGGCTTTTGTTCGGGAAATTGACCTAGGGAGCTGTAGCTTTAAACTCCGATTTTAGAGTTTAAAAAATCGCTGATTCCGAACCTAAAGCCCATTTGAAAAAAACGTATTTCCCGCCGAGTTATTCGACTTTAAAATCTACAACAGCCACCCAATTTGCATTTAAGAGGGGAGATTTAATGCAAATTTTAGCAAAGCAGATAGCGGATGCCCAGCTCAGCTGGTATAGCTATAACACAAATTTGCTCGTTAGCACAACCTTTCCAACATATGGATATATCGTGTCTTTGGGAAGGCCACCATCTGTTCTTGCATAGTTGAAAACATCTCCTTGCCACCCACCTTTCGAGCAATTGTGTGACACACAGTCGAGCTAAATGACAAACTTATTGTCTCAAACATTGAGAAATTATCAGTGTAAAGAATTCATGTAAAAAAGTGTTAGTGGGAGGCTGGGAAAAATCTGTTATATTGGATGAATGCATATGAAATGGCTAATCCAGGCGAATTTCTCCACTAGAGCAGCTATCTAATTTCTGTTTGGTTAGAATGAAAAGTTATAATCTTAAGCTAATAACGGCCGGGTAACTTTTTTATTTGACATAAAATTATCGAGAAACTTTTTGATCATTGGAGCCCACTCAACTTTGATATTCTTTTGAACTAAAGTTCTATTAGCTTGATGGTTTTTATTGTTCTATTCTTGTTCAACAATAGAACATTGTACAGTGCGTTTCAAATTCTTAGCCGCACCCTCTAAATTAAAGAGTTTTGCATTTTGAACAATGCTGCAACTATTATTCCTTTTCTATTGGAAAGAGTATGTAAAAAATATTGTAAAAAGTTAAAATTTTCGAAATAGAAACTTTTTGGTAAATCAGCCGTTTCAAATTCTTAGCCGCACCTTTGTTTATACCATGTTTGCTATTGTTTTCCTTTTGTTGTGCATATTCTATTATTACATTTATAATGTTTGTTAATTTTCAGGTAAATGGCACACGGAAAGCTGCCCACGGGTTAGGAGAAGGGCCAGATTGATGCGCGTTTGAACATTGGCGGAAAAGAGGAAGTAAAACCCATGAGAAAAATCGCAAACGATTTGGAGCGATCCGACCGTGTCGTGCGTAATTATATCAAGTCAAAGGCCGTTACTGCACCAAAGAAGAAGTCAGGACCAAAACCAAAGCTTACACCACGAGCTAGACGCCATATTGTGAACAACACCCATGGAAAAACGATCAATGACGTGAAAACGGAACGGAACATCGACGCTTCAAAGTCGACAATTTGGCGAGCCGTCACGGAAAACCCAAATATTGATCGACACTTGTTGAACAAGCAACCGGTCGTGGATCTTTTGCACAAGAAAGCCCGATTGGAGTTCGCCAAGGCTCATATGAATCAGGATTGGTCTAAGGTTAGAAAGCCGCTTATGTTTTATTAGTTGTTTTGCGTTTAGGTGATCTTTTCCGATGAGAAGAAATGAAATTTGGATGATGGCGTTGACTACTATGGGAGGGATCTTCGACGTGATCGGATGGTGTTCGGGACTCAAAACTTTGGCGGTGGTTCTTTCATGGTTTGGGCCGCTTTTTTTCCTGATGGAACTGCTGGAATTCGAATCGTATGAATCGTTTTGACTATATAGACATCTTTGGCAATTGCTTGTTGCCGTTTTTGCACCTAAATTCAAACATTCCCTATGTGTTTCAACACGACAACGCGTCAATTCATTGAGCCGGAGACACCCGAAACTGGCTGAACAACAACAACATTGCAACTTTGGACTGGCCCGCTCGATCTCCTGACCTCAATCCGTTAGAGAATTGATGGGGAATACTTGTCCAAGCTGTCTACAAGAATCATCGTCAATTTCAAGAGGTTCTTGCACTTAAAGCAGCAATCCGTTTGGTCTGGAGCTATCTCGACGTATCTGCTCTTCAAAATCTCATCAATTCAATGTCAAACCGCATTTTTCAAGTAATTAATCGTTCTGGTGCATGTACAGATTATTATTTTGGATTTTCATTTTTTATTGTTAATATTTGTCGATAAATAAAAATTTTTTTCGTAGTGCGGCTAAGAATTTGAAACGGCTGATTTACCAAAAAGTTTCTATTTCGAAAATTTAAACTTTTTACAATATGCTTATTTTTAGTGTTTTCTAGGTTTAAGACATGCTCTTTCCAATAGAAAAGGAATAATAGTAGCAGCGTTGTTCATAATGCAAAACTCGTTAATTTAGAGGGTGCGGCTAAGAATTTGAAACGCACTGTATTTATTGCTCAACATTGTTCTATTTAAAGATTTCAGTAAATTTTTATCAATATGTTTTTCAAGTTTTGAAAATGATTTGATGCGATTAAAGCCTGGGATTTTTTTAATGAGTTAGCTTTTTATTGAAAACACCTATGAAAATGATGATTGCTTCAAATAGTTTTTTCCACAGTTGGAATCTTTGGTCAAAAAGCTGATTATTATATCACTTTTCACTAGCAATAAATCATAAAAGAGCTTTTTGAAATCTGGTGATTGGTTGGGGAAATCTGGAAAATTTAACCACTTCATATGCATCTTACTTACATATTTTTGTTCGCTTAGCGTAACAAGCTTGCCAGTTGCTTTAGCGAATTGTCCTTCGATAGAAGCCACCGCTCTAAAAGATATTCTTCAAGGAGAAATTTTTTCCCCCCAATCTTTGCGTAACAGCCCCAAGTTGTTAGTCAATCAAAATCAAGCACATAGTAAAATTTTGCTAGCTACTAGCGCTTTCGTTGATTCTCGAAGTTTCTAATAAACTTTTCACATAAACGAGAGGCATGGGCCATGAAAATCGTCTAGCCCAGTTTTTTCAAAAGTTTGCCCATGAACAGGGTGTCTTACAATTATGGTGACGCGCATGTTACTACGTTTGACTGCTTTCTGTCTTTCTTTTTTTCTTTTCTTCTTATTAATTGGATGATTTGATTGTTTTTAGGTATGAAATCTAAGAAAGAGCTGCGTCCAGCCATTACTCTTCATCAGCAAGGAAAAACACTCGCAGAGATACTCGACTACTACGTTTGACTGCTTTCTGTCTTTCTTTTTTTCTGCATCTTGCAGGAAAAGAAACAGAATGTTTTTCGCGCTCTGAAGCGTTTCAAAGAAACAGGCTCCAATGAAGATCGTAAAGGACGAGGTCCACCAAAGACTGCCAATAATTCAAGAAATCGTCGAAATACTTTTGATCGACTTTCAATCAAAATGGGTACATTACCTTGTGTTGAATCCCATTAATTCATAGTCGTAAAAAGAAAACGAAATAAAATGGCTCAATTAGCGGAAATCAATTTGAAAAAGTTTGCTCAAGTAAAACTTCGAATGTTGCTGCACTAGATCGATCTTAAAAGTCTATGGATAGTCATTATATTACAAAAAGAACACTGAAAAACAAAATTTTAGGTTTAATGTTCAATTCAACGTCAAAACCTAACAAGGGCATGATCCAAACGTATCGACACTAGGAAAAGCTATTAATCTGTCAAAAAAGGCCCTTTAAAAAGTTTCCTTTGGCATAAACAGTATGATCTTTTTAAAATTGGTCTTTGTTTCTTGGTGACAGGCTTTTTGTTGACTGGTCTTTAATTGTTTTTTTTGATTAATATTGAAAATAGCCTGGAATACTGCAACTGTACTGTAAAGAGCACTCTAATAGTCTTAAAAATGGTATTTGTATGTTTTTCAAAAAAGCAAAAAAGTTTGTCGGCGGCGGGACTAGAACCCACCGCGAAAACCGGCATGCGTTCTGTAGTCCGCCACACTGGTCCCTAGGCCGCCACTGATCCACTGCTTTCGCTGGCGTATGGAGCGCTCTTATTGGCTAAAGGCTAATGGGCGATTTTTCAAAAATGGTCGAAACTTCAATTGCATTTTTTTTCGCTAGGATTCTAATTTGAGCAAAAACTGAATGGATATTTGGAATGCCCACATCCGATTGGTGTTTGCACCCCGAGCTTATCATGAAACGTCAGCCCCAGTTTGGATCATTCCCCTTGTAAGAATTTACAGTTAGGTGCAAACCGAAAGCTTTAGAGTTTCCGATTTTACCAAAGTAAAAAGGAATTTCAATATTACTACGATCATCTTTGATACCAAAAGTAAATAAAAAAAGCTCACGAGAAGATGTAACAGCTTTTACAATGTCCTTGGTCTTTTACATCTGTCACCAGTCCTTTGTCCCGTAGGTCGAGACTCTCTGGTGGCTGAATTGGTGTCCTCAACAAAAAGTATGACACATATTTTTACCACCAATCCTTTCGATGGTATATAGAAGTCCGAGAGTGAGAGTAGATGTCGTCGGTTTTTTGGCAGCTCTAATCCCGTGTACCGTTTGATAGGATTCTGAAAAAAATCCACTAGTTGGTCATAAATCAAATTTACAAGCAGTTAGTTTAAAAATCTTTAACAGTTAAATGTTGAAAAATTCTTGTAATTTCAAATGGCTAAGTGAGTTCTTGTCACTTTATTTATCTTACCAGGTCTGTGTGCACACCAAATGGGCACCAAATGAGCACCAATATTACCATCGGAATACAAGCAAACATTTCAATTTTTTTTAAAGAGCCTGTCCTTGCAGTTTATAAAGCAAACAAACAATTGCTGAAAAATTTCAACTTCAATATTTGAAAAGATTCATTTGAAAAGCTTGCTAAATTTTAAAAGAGCTGAAAAAGGTTCTGAGTCAGTTTCTCTTTTTCTTTTCTGAAAAAAAAAGAAAAGAAAACTTCTAATATTTCTATTTATGTAAAAAAATTTTTGTTGAAAGGTTAAATGTTTTCTGAAGAATTTATAAATGCATTTATAAAGAATTTATAAAGAGCCTGTCCTTGCAGTTTATAAAGCAAACAAACAATTGCTGAAAAATTTCAACTTCAATTCATTTCTTAACTTCAAGAAGTGTTCTGATACAAACTACTATATAACGGAAAAAAATTTTCGTCCCTTCCATTCCGTTCTAGAGAGAGTCGGCTGTATTTTGAAATGCATCGAGTCAGATTCTGATACTGTTGGAGTGACTCGCTACTCTGAAACTAAAGGAGTAATTTGATGCCAAAAGAGACACCTTTGTATCAGAACACTTCTCAGTTCAACTATTGAGAAAATCTGCTCATAAATTCCATGCATTTCGTGCAGTGGCCCTAATCAGGAGTCCTCAGCTTATTTTTTGTTCATTTAAGAAACCTAATAGTGTGGAAACAGCATATTTTGCTGCTATTTGCCTGTCTATCAATCCTTCCAGGGGTCAATTTTCCAATTTCAATTTTATTTAGATAACACTTCAGGTCCAATCAATCCAGGGAGGCTCGATGGTTAAAGCCGACGCCTGGCCGCAAATGGTCGCCATTTTCTATCGCCAAAACAGTTATTTTATTAAAAATTTAAAACATGATACTAACTGCTATTATTAATTTAAATATAAATTTAATAAATTATTTTTGCACAAAACTAATTTCAGGTCGGTCTATAAGTTCCATTGTGGAGGAAAATTTAATATAAAAATTAAAATTAGTTATGGCATAAAGACAATTATTTTACTAACAAAGGAAGGTCATGAAATCAGGGTGGCCAATAGAAATGAGACCTAGACCATCCGATGCAGAATTTGACGCTGATTCCGAATCTGCCATCCGCTTTTGCAAGATAGGTCGGAATCGCAAGGAATTTGGCAAACAATTTTTTGGCATCTCTTATAACGCTTGCGCGCGCGCGTCAAAGAAAGGGTTACTGTAGCGGATAACGTGTCGGAATCAGACTTCCAACCTTCTTCCAACCAAGCTTTTTCAATGATTCTTTAGCATTTGATAATTATCATCACCCCATCATTTAACTTGAAAGTTTCCTTGTTACGAGCTCTCTTTTCGTTTTAAATACATTGCTTACTTTCTGCCGTTCTTCTTCTATTTTAGATATGGTGATTTGTGACTGTCCCGACGACGTAATCGATCTACAAAGTTTGCCGCATCTCCCCGGCTCGGGCCACCCCTTAATCAATTTCAAACTTGTGCGTTCATGTTCAAAATTGAATGTTTTGAACGGACTTTTTTGAACGTTCCTGTAAAGTTTCAAACTTTTAAAGAACTACCGGAGTTAATTGCTTTTTTGGAAAAGAAAAAAGAAACGTAATTGCTAAAAACAATATCAAATCAAACAAGGCTTCAAAATTGATAAGAACAATCACTAAAAGTAATGGCAGCACACGTTTTTTTTTTGCTTTATTGTATAAAGCTAGTGTTGAACAACGCTTTTTTGAATAATAAATTTGAAATTTTCAATGTAAAATTTACGTCGCGTCTACGTTTTTTTTTGAGTACGCGTTTTAGGAAACGCATTAGCCGAGAGAAACACACTCTAATGGACATACTCTCAACGGAGGCCCATTCAAGACATGTCTCAATACCAGATTCGTAAATATAACCATCGGGACAAGATATTTGCAAGGTGAGTGGAACGAGAAAAAAACAAAAAACAAAAAATAAAGCTTTAAAGTTAACCAAAATCGAATTCTTATCGCTTTGCTTAATTGAAATGTCAAATTGAAATGAGCTTTTGAAGGGTTCATCAAACGAAGAGACCCGCATTGGCCTCTTTCAGGAAAATTCTTTCGATTAACGCAATTTAGAGAAGTTGAAACTGCTAAAATATGCTTAATTATTTGTTTGTTTTGATTGATAGACTTTATAAATTCGAACAAATAAAATCAAAAGAACTTCTAGCTTCCACGCTCTTCTCAAACAATTCTTCAAAAAACTTTATTCATACTTTACATAGATGTTGAGGTGATTAGCACGGGTGACATTCGATAATTCTTTGTACTCGACTTTTGTCCACGACACGACACGAAATAGAGTAATGTCAATTCGTAGGAAACCTTCTGACGATAGCTAGCTTCTTTAACTTTTTTCACTTTTCTCATTCGTTTTTTTCGATGAGAGTCAAATTGAAACGAAATTCCTTCAAGATCATCGCTTCTTAACAAATTAGCTCGATTTCCAAAAGTTTTGAAGATCAAATTGAATGGAGGACCTCGTCTGTTCGATGACATATCGACTTTGTAAAGATTCAATGTGAAATCTTTTCTCTCAATGGGTAAACCTCTGTCGAGAATCTGATTGACAATTATTGGGAATCTCTCAAAAAATGTATCAATCAGATCGATTCTCAACCTTTTGAGGCTACTGATTGACAACAATCGAACCAACTCGGATTGTTCGATTTTGCAAGTGCGTAGAATGATGAAATCGCTTTGATTGAGGTCTGATTCGATGAGATCGATTATCGGCTCGTTATCAAATGCTCCTAGTGATGTGAGTGAGACAGAATGGCCGATTTCAAAGTTTATGTTTGAGACGAACTTTTGAAGATTCTCGATCGACCTCGAGGAGAGACTGAGATTTTGTACGAAACGAAGATTTTTTAAGGAACTTATCATCAATTGAGAGATCTCGTCCAGATTTCCCTTCAAACCCTGTCTTGAATTGGCAACAAATGACAAAAAACGACATGTAGTGATCCGCTCGACTATATTCAGTGAGATTTTAGTGAATGTGTACCGCAGCTCAGTCGCAACATCGATGTCATTGATTTGGAATGGATCTGCCAACACGATTCCAATTTTACAATTGTATAGATTAAATTCTAGATATTCGACATGGAACGGGAAAGGTCCATTCGTGAGAAAATATTCTCGAAAATAGTGATTGACTCGCAGAAGCCGAATAGCCAATCTTGGCTCGATCTTATTCAAAATTAAGCCAGAAAGTTCGTTAGGAAACCGGAGAAATGGAAATCCGGTTGTAGCTTTATTGTTGCTATGTTGTTGACCCATTTTGATAGGAGAAGATTTTAGAAAAAACGATGAAATAAAGGCTGACGCATCAAAAAAGATAAGGGCAGAGAAAACGTGATCAATTCAACGATCTGACGTTTCATGTTTCTTAATAGTGATGGTTCTTTCTGAATGACTCTTTTTAAAAGTAGTCTAATGGTGGAAGATTGATGAAATGCCGATGAATTCATTAAACGTCGAACAAATTATGGCCACTAACATCATTATGTTTGAAATAGAGGTTAAAGTGATTCTGGGATGAACTCTCTCTTCACCAAACTTAGGTTCTTAAGAACAAATGCCTCAATGACAGAAAGCTACAAAAAACAATAGGTCCGTCCATCGATGAATCCAATCATCAGAACTGAAACACACAAATTCGTCATTCCTTTACAAACAAGGCGCTAAA